AATTATTTTAAAGCTATGTTTCTTCAAAAAAAGTTACTTAATGTCATTGTGATATACCATATTAGAATGATAAAACTATTATTATAATATTATTTTTTTGATCATCAAATAGGGTATGAATATGAAACCAATGAAGATAAATTGTCTGTTGTTTCTTGTATTGACTCTTTTCAGAAGAAATATAGATTTTTATGAAGTTTTTTATAATTATTGATTTTGCCACCATTTTGGTTGCTAAGTGTAGCTAGGATAAACGTCACATCCGGCGAAAAGAGCATAGGCGCATCCTGTTTTGTATCCACTTGGTATATATAGTATCTATGCTGGGGCCGTCCCTAAAAAACGGACCGGACCGGACCAACGGACTATGGTCGGCGACAAGTCTGTTTTACGGACCCGAATGGTCCGCGACATCTCTATTTTACGGACCACTTTGCTCACTGCTAAATATTATAGCTAATGCTTATGCTAACTGCTAAGGTCAAGATTTACTCTTACTTAAACCCTGCTTCTCGCTTAGATATAAGCCCAAACCTTCAGATATTGCAAATTTAAAGAATTTATTTATGAAGCAACTGTATACAGCCTGAGCATGGTAGCTACTGAGTTAATTGATGTTGTGCAGTGACTCTACAAATGGTGGAGTAAATTTTAATATCTCACTAATGATACTTATTTGTGTCACTTTACAGCCTAGTGTGGGAAGCAAATCTTGTTCTGAATTCAGTGGAGTAACGGTTACAAATTAGATATGTAATGATAATTGCCGGCAACTGCTTAAATTTTCAATGGCTACTGATGTTGTTAGCTACACTGAATTATTGTTGTTGATCATTTTATGCAGGGAAAATTTTTAAAATTTAGGTTTATACTTGATAATATAACATGCATTGTATGAAATGTACGTGGCATGCAATTAAGATGAATGCCACTGAAATATGGCCCAGGCTTGTTATGATTACATTCAAGAATTTACACCTTTAATTCATATAAATTATTAAAAAATTTAAGTAACAATAGTACAAAAACTTTGGTAGTTATATCTACCACAGTCAAAAGATATTATAACTGTTCAGTTACCGTCAGTACTAACCCCTTAAGCTCTCCTCTGACAATATGCTACTGAGTGATACCACTGGGTGGTATTTTTTTGTAAACTTCTGTTTAGACTGGTATATTTATTTAATAATTTATTTATTCTACTCATAATTTTATTCTGCTAATAAATAACTTATTTATCCATTTTAGTAGTTAAGCTTACTCCAAGGCTTGGTATTATTCACTAGCTGATTCTCACTAACATCATTGCTATAAAGATTTATTAAAATTTTTGCTACATAATATTAACAAGAACTACTTTTGGGATCAGTTCCAGTATTATTATTTATGTTGATTTATTTTGCATTAGATTCAGTTAATTATCAATATTATTATCACCATAACTACCGTTTTAATATTGATTGTATTTTTACTTTTTCTTATTTTTTTGTTTCTTTTCCTTCCTTCTCTCATCTTTCTTCTTTTTCTTTCTGGCTGGCCATGTTTCCTTGGTCAGGCCTTTGGTGTTTCTTTTATCTAGCCTCTTAACTCTCATTCTCATTGCCGGTCACTGTAAAGTTTAAATAAATTAATTAATACATAAATTGCTGATGCATAAATGTAACAATTGATTATCATAGTCTACTAGATATAATATTATTATTAGTTTTGAACAAGTATAAAATTAATTTAAGTTGATATTACAGACTTTATCAATAAACTACGGCCTCACTGCATTGTATTATGACTCAACTGATAGTAGATCTATCTCCATAGATAAAAATTATATTTGTCACTGAAGTTATGTATGTTGTCTAGGCCATCATGGAGTTTGCTAGCATCATAAATACTGATGCTAGCATAGATATCTATGCTCTAGGTCGGTCAGGTCCGTGGTCATCAACGCGGAGTCCGTACTTTAGTCTTTTCGGGTCCCTTGGTCGGGTCAATAAATTAGTTTGTATCGGGTCCGTCGCTCGGTCCGTAAATTAGTCTTTTCGGGTCCGTTGGTCCGGTCCGGTCCGCTTTTTAGGGACAACCGAATGCGGATCAATGCCGCGCAACGCCGGCGGCGCGCGCGCTCACATGCACGTGATAGCATATAATCTATGGTTTGTACATAGATTATATATGGTTTGTACATAGATTATATATGGTTTGTAGTACGGTGATAGCTACGTAGGCATCTCTTAAAGTATTAATTAGCGCTAGATCTAACTTGCCTTTCATAGTCGTAGCATGAGCTATCTATTATGAGCTATCTATTATGAGCTATCTATTATTATGGAAGTGTTGCAGAAATACCTTTGTAACTCTGGTGTAGATGAGATAGATTTGGAAACTAAAATAGTCCCTCATTTTTGGAAAAAGGGTTTTAAAAAAATCGCCGATTTTGAGTATTTAGAAAAACAAGACCTTGATGGTATGGTATGTGTTAAGATAAACCTGTGCTTTGATGTTATTGCTAAATACAGATTTAGATGCTAATGATTTAACTAAAAGAAGACTGTGGAAGCATGTTTGCCTTGGCCTTCACCCCGAACCGACCATAGAAGACGAATTTGATCAAGACACTGAAATATATATAAGATACATCTTTTGCAATTCTGATCTTTTTGCAAATGATATAGCTGAAATGAATCTTGTCAAAATAAAACCATTAATGAAGCTGGATGAAATTACAAGTATGATATGTAGTGAAAATAAAATTCCACAAGAAGAAGTGATTGAGCTATATTCAAGTCATGGATATCCATTACAAAATAATGAAATAACTGGACAAAGTAAATCTAGTAAAAATTATTTTAAAATCTACTTTTATGTGCTAGGTATCATAATTTCTTGGAAATTGGAGGATGGTGATTTATTCTATGTATTAAGAAGGTTAAAAAAGCAACCACGAATGAGGGAATTTGTCTCATTACCTGAACTAGATCACTGTGTTGGTAAGACATGTGCAAACCATGATTCATTACACATAAAAATGTAAATAGGTCAGGAAACTTTAATAATTGAAACTCCTTTCCATGGATCCTTCTCAGTTAATGCATACTGTGATTCACCAGAAGACATTGCACAAAAAGTCTACAGTGTTACTGGCATACCTGTACCATTTATGTCACTTTATGTGAGGTATAGACAATAGTACAAGTGTGTTTTTGGATTGTATAACTACAGGCGAGGATATTTTCATGAGCAAGTGACAGCATTTACAGAGCTGAAAGATCAAGATCACATTAGGGTTATACTGCGAAGCCCATTTGAAATTGTTTTGAAGCCTCTCTCTATCCATTATGGCTGCCAAACTTATAATTTTTTGGTACCCCAAACAAAAAAAGGAATCACAAAATTCTTTTCGATTCTTAAATTTATTGTAAGTTTTTTCATGAATTAGTTATTATGGATCAGTATAATTATAGTGTTCACCTAAACCCCATAATAAAGAATATGACTTTGAAAGATTCCAGTCTTTCTTAATGACATTCACTGATTTCCCTCCTCTGGTCTATGCATTACAGAATCTGAAAGAATTTTCATTCCTCACAATATCTGGCTGGGTAAGTTTTATTTACCATCAAATAATGCATTTGTTTTTCAAATATAATAGACTGCATTAATTGAGGGTTTCTATTTGCTTTTCAAAACGATTCTTGACACTTTTGCTACAGGTATTGTGAATTTAATTATAGAACATTTTTGCAATTTTAACAGTAAGTAGGGATCAAATTTTTGAATATTCAGACTACATTCTTTCTATGTTCATACATAAATCACATGTAAGAATACATGCCTAGTACAGAGCATGGAAGGAAATTTAATTGATACTATCATCATAACTTCATAGGATATTGAAGAAACATGCACAGAAACACAGCACTGCTCCTTAGTTTGCCCTTTATCAGGAACAAGAATACATCAACCAGTTCGTGTAGATGTAGATATGACACAAGGTCCCTTTGATAAAGAAAACATCCTAGCAAAAATTGAAAGTAAACATCGTATCAAATGGCCTATAACAAAGTACTCTAATAATTGTAGGTGATAACAACTTCGAACAGTTTGGAAGGCTTACAAAAGAACAGTTAAAGGATGATGTTGAAACTGCTAAGCTTCTGATGTATTTTCCATGGGAAACAGATAAAAAAGTATGTGTATGGACAAATCCACCAAAATATGTCAAACCACCAAAGTGAGTTATATACATGTACAATATATAAATTCATAAGTTATAACTTTTATATTTTTAAGAGTTTGTAGAAAGGTGGATGTGTTTTTTAAGTGGTATGACATGCTACACTCATTATCAGAGTTACATATACTCAATCCTCAAGGATTGTATGGAGACGAATGTTTAACATACAATAGTGAAGGTTAACAACTAAAAAGTCTATATTATTATTATTTAATGTATAGTTGCAGCAAAGATCAAAGGCCTAACAGTTGTGATAAAACCCACAGAACACTCCCACCAATACTGCAGTGTGATATTATAAATAGCACACTCATTTATTTGATGTGCAGCAGTGTGATATCAGTGATAGCAGAGCATGTGCAATCTTTGCTGGAACTATACACTAAAACAATTAATACATGTGGCATCGTGTTCTATCAGATTTATCTGCACTCGCTTCCGGTCTCATCACTAAAAGTAGCGCACTCGGCCTTCGGCCTCATGTGCTATTTTAGCGACTTGACCGGAAGCTCGTGTGGATAAATCTAATATAACACGCCGCCCCATGTATTAACTATTACATGAGAATTTTATAGCACATCTAATCTATTTTCCTGGCTCAACAAAAAGTACAGACAAAAAACATAAAGCAGTATTCTACAATGCATGTGCTGATGCTGAACGCAACTACCAACAAGTAATACATAAAGCAGAACTTGAGAAAATTGGAAAGTTAGATTATAACAAATAAGCTTATATTAACTATGCACAATAAATTTGTTAGCTCAGGCCTTGAATTGCAAGTTACTTCTGATATAAAAAAAGTAATCAAAAAAGATAGTCATGTCATTCTAAACTATGATAAAATAAGGTGAAGTATATACATTTTCTGTCATTAATAAAATAAATAAAAATTACCATAGAAAATCAGTTGTCATTTCACCTGAGAAAAGCATACAGTGGGAAACAGAAGAAGCAGTTGTCGTAAATAAACATATGTACATGTAGATCAGTAATATTATGGCTGTGTTACAGATATTATTGGATCAACGTAGTTCTATGAGAAACACAATTTTCAAAGAGTAAGTATGTAAGTATTATTGAACTTTTCATATAAAGCAAAAAATATAGAATTGGAGACATGAAAAGTGATTGATGCTGCTAAACAATTGTGTTACAGTTTTGCAACACAATCTCAAGCATACAAGCTTGCATCTTGCTCTGGGACTAACTATATTTGGGTCAGAAACCATTGTAAAACTAAAAGTCACAAATAGATTTAACACTGAAGAATTTGAGGTACATGCATAAACAAATTTATAATCATAAATAAATACTGGCTCAGACTACCTTAAATGACATTGATATGAAAGTGTTCCATGGATTTTACAGCTGCTGTTGTTAATACCATTCAGCAACTTAAACAGTTCAACTGCAAAAGGTGAACTTTATTATGATTATTATTAATTGAAACTAATTTAATATAGGAGAATAATGTGTTTAACAAATGGATACAACAGATCCAAAACTATGTATAACACTGTATTGTCATCTGCAAAGGTAAAGAAAATTATTAATCATTATCATTCTAAATCTGTATAATTTATATAATTATACAGGAAGCTAATGTAATTGTAGATACTATTTTGTTGACTTTTCCTGAAGATAATAAAGAACAAAAGGCATTCTCTCATGCAACAGGTTTTAAATACAATATGTAATTTTTAAAGTCACTAAACCCATCATACAGGAGGTGTATGTGTTCTTCCTAAAACAATGCAGGAAGCACTCAGATACTTTGAATTAGATGCAATGCTCTCACTGAGGGAAAGGGTGCCTAGACAATACCCAGTAAGCAAGAAAATCATAAGTGAAGGGATAATTTACTTATATACAGACTGATTTAAGTGTGTTGCAAAATATCAACCGTTATCCATATGAGACAGAGACTAGCTTTAAATCAACCTACATTGAATCATTTTACAAAGTAAAGACACAATCAATGAAAAGGTACTTCATTATTTATTGAAGTAATGATGTTTTACTATTGTTACTGAAAGCCACATAGATAAGTTAAAAGAAACACCAAGTAATTCACACCAACGAAGAATAATAAGAGAACTTAGAGAGTTCATGCATAATCCTCATCATAGTATAACAGTTTATCCAAGTCAAACAAGGTATAATCTTAATATAAGTGCCTTATAATTTATTGACAAATTGTAGCTATGAAAAATGGAAAGTGTTAATGTCTGCCCCAGATGAAAGTGCTTATTCAGGAGGTTAGTTCTTTTATACAGCATTAAACTAAGTGTCCATGTGTAGGAGTATTTGCTCTGAGTGTTGAATTTCCCAAAAAATATCCCTTCATCCAACCTGAAATACGCTTTCTTACACCAGTATGCATGGATAAATTATACAAACATTATTTTATTCTACGCTTATAGATATATCATTGCAATGTTAGTAGCAGCAGTGGGAGGATATGTCATGCAATACTTGGAGAGTCATACACACCCTCCACCAGTATGAGAGAAATACTGAGCTACATTTATGGACTGTTGATGTGTCCTGATACTGATACACCCCTTGACAGGTAATGCTATAATTAACTGTATAAAATTAACTAGTGTATAGTGCACTTGCTGGAGAATATGGATACCAGAGTGGTAAAGAAAAAGGCCATATAGAATATTTTGAGGTGGCAAGTGAATATTTCAGAAAAGCTGGTGAAAATGTCAAACGGCATGCAAGTAGAGCATTTGACGAGTTACACAAAGTTAGTTAAGATGATTATAATGACATAATTCTACATTACAAATGTTATTTTTTGATAGGAACTTAGTGGATGACTTAAATCTTGCTTAAATATAACTACTACATTTATGCATTCACATATTTAGATTCTCTTAAATTAAAAAAAATTAATGACAACATAAAAATACACATAGGAGAACAGCTAAAATGTATGCAAAATGAATTAAACTTGTCCTAAAAATCTGCAGATGTATTAACTTCACTCAAGAATGGAACCTTGGGAAATTTTATATGACCTAGATACAGAAAAAAGTTATTAAGCTGAGCACTTTTTCCTCTCAGCCATGCTGAGCCTGGTATTGTGCCAAACCTTTGGTCGATTATAATAATAAATCAAGGGTTTTGACAACAACAAAACTAAAGATTGAGATGTGTGTTTTGCAAGGCTATCAAATTTAGTTTGGTATTTTAATGTTATAACACTAGTGAAATCTTAAAGCATACCAAATAATATATATATTAGATATTACAATGATACATGTTTTGTACATATGCCTTCTTAAAGGTGTTCCTACATGTATCATTGATAATTACTGGTACACATCACCTAGTGCTGTACTCTACTATCTATGGATGTATACCCTCTGATAGGTAGTGTGTTATAGTATGTATAGCTTATAGGCACCGTTATTTCAACTCAAGCACAGCCCAACTAAACCAACAACTGCATGAGCAATTGCTACATAAGTTTATAGTATGTGGCATAAATTGCAACAAGAAGTTCAATGCTGACATAAAATAACATTTTCTAACAATACCAAATTAGTTCCAAATGATATAAAATAATGATAAATTCAATATGCACAGACAGTAATGTATTATTCCAAGAAACTTCCTAGCACCACCTGACCTAACACCCCTAAAAAGTAACTATACACTACTGATAACAAAAACTTATCTACATAGGAAACACCCTCTCATAATATATACACCTATCAGATATCTATACCTGTTGAGAGGGTGTTACAGGCCTAATACACTCCTACAGACACCTAATGAATTATGTATCAGATATCTGATATGTATTTGTCCGGAGGGTGTATATACCATTCAGAAAAGGTTGAGGGGCAAGAGTACAACACCTAAAACTACATAAATGTTTTCTACAGTTGACTTGACACTACATGCTACATGTAATAGTACAATCAAAACATGCATATTTTTAAAATGAGCATAGCAGGGAATCAAAAATAGCAGTGCTAGAGCAGCACATTATAATGTTCAATCACGTAAATTTATGCTTATAGGTAAACACAAGAGTTGAATACAGTAATTAATGTAGAGCAGTGACAATGGGCTAAGTTACAAAAACTATATGTGACCATAATTGACAAAAGGGCCCTTATGGCGGATTTTAAAATTGATCGTTATAATTGAAAATATCAACCTGTGAGTGCTTTGTTAGACAATCATTGTTTCTAAAAGTTTCATGGTAACTTTTTGCATCCTGTGGAGTAATTTTATGATAAATGGGGCTCAGGAAGTTGGATTTTTTAGGCTAGAAAGAGAAATTTCACTACCCGCCATAAGGTCCCTTTTGTCAATTATGGTCACATATTCAAAAGTAATAACAAAGTATTATAGGTAGATGAGCTTTCTTAAACATAATTCATTCACTGAGCAACCTTATACTAATTACAATATGTAGCAACAGGTACATATTGAAGCTATGCATAATACAGTATATTAAATGTACTATTCTTTTATTCTGGTGTGAAAGGGGTGTACCAGTTTTTATAGTCATATGCATGTAATGTAAACTCTCCCTCCCCATCCTATTATGCTTTGAAATGAATCCAATTATGCTCATTTAATGCCCATATTTTAAGCTTTACTCAAGTATGGACTATCAAGTTACATGTACATGCATCTGTTATAATTGCAATAATGCCAGAATCTGAAAATACTTCCAAAGACTTTGAATCACTGGAAAATACAATACTCTAAAGTGTTGCACTATATATACAGTATATATATATATATATATATATATATATATATATATTAAAACAGTATTTGTACCATCTGCCAAATTGAATTGCAATTTTATGTGGTCAGGGATATGGGGCGAGAAATTTTTGATCCAATGCTCCAAATTATGCTAGCATAATTTGCCTAGCCCCAAGTCAGCCAGGTGTTACTACTGGTATACCAAAAAGCTTGGTAAAATACAAATTACACTGGCTTGTATATAAAATGCCATGGCTATTCAGTGGATTATTGCATATGGTAAAAAGATGGTGTAGTACATTTTACAATGTACAGACTATTGTATTTTAATAAAAGATAATAATATACTCAGACTCACAAAGACTCACCTTATTCATGGCTTCGTTTCCAATGGCTCTTCTATAATTACTAATTAAGAAGTACTATGAGTCAGTATAGTAAAATCTTTGAACTACAGAGAAGAAGAGAGGTACAGATATCAGCCCATTAATGTCAAATAAGATAAGCTCTCATAATAATAATTGACAATCTCAAATAATTAATGACAATCTCTTAAGCATATACAATGTACATGCAATATGAAAGTGCATACAAAAGTTGGCATGCTTTGTGCTAAACCCATTATTAGCAAATAAAAAATAACAAATTAAAAATACAAAATAAATAATAATTTGAAAGTTTGAGCTGATTCTGACTTAAAGGGACCACTCCCATTTACAATAAAAATTGAAGAATGACTGAATTCATTATGCATGGCTAATAGATAATATCTACCGCATTATGCATAAATAGGGGTGACGTACATGCAGACAGACAAACAGGCATGACTGAGAGACTTACTTATTCCAATTGATGACTTACACAAGGCTAGTTCAATGACATGATTTTATATTTACTATGTACACTATGTACTTTGTATAGGAACTTAGTGGACAAATATCTTGAACAATGAGCAACTGACTTGATTATTTACATTTAAAAAATAATTAAATTTAACAATGATGTGAATAAAAATGTGGTACTTATATGTAAATGTAGTGATTTGACACACAATAATTCATCAAAATCATCACATCTAAAAGTTAAAGACATACTCGTTTTCTAAGTACCGTAATTTCTCAAAAATTCGTCATCACTGTTTTGGGACAGGTAATTTTGAGAACAAAATTTTAGACGTTAAACGGAAATAATTAAGCCAAAATAGTTATTTTTGACGAATTTAGAGGCAACATGGTGGTGCGTGAGTGCGTCATTAAAGTCTGCCAAGTCACTGCTTACCTGCCACTCTATTGCCATTGAAGATGAATATAGAGAATCCTGACGAAATTAGAACACGTTGGAAGGATATTTTTGTGACAAATATTTAGACTACTTTAGGTACTATTTCTTCCAAATAATTATTTATTTTCAAAATTAGAGTGCTGAATTTTTAGAGAAATTACGGTAATGGTTATTTACATTTTATAGATTAGATTTACAGGTCACGTAGCAGTTCAGGGAGTTTGGCAGTCATCTCAGTTTTTAACAACCTAAATAGACAAATGAATACTGAAATTTCCTGAAAAATAAAGAACAATGACTATTACAACCAAAATTAAGCAATTCTGTCCTCAATTGATTGATAAAATACACATGTACAAGTACCGTAAATGTTCAAATAAAAGCCCGGGCGTTTATTTCTTTCCAGGACAAAAAAATGTGTAAAATAAAATAAGAAAAAGTAAAACTGGGATTTGAACCCTGACATCCACGTTCAATGCACTCAGCTTAACAAGTTAGGCCATTTGAGACACTCCAAAGATTATGGGACTTATATTGACTAAAATATGTGTATCTATACTTGGAGATTCTTAGTACCAGGCATTTATTCAAGCCCGGCCTGGCCTTTATTTGAACATTTACGGTACATGTATAATAAATCTATGTTTGTCACATTAAAAGTTATTGCTGCAAATATTTGTATATAGTCATGCAAGGATAAAATTGGAGTACACTTATAGAGCAATGCAATTCTGTCTAGAACGATGTCTTCTATATTAGGCATAAACCTATGGCTCTAAAATGGATACATGATTTCATTATAGGAGTTAGTCTTAAAGGTGCAAATTCTTGCTATGCTTTAAGCAATGTGAGCATTCCAGTTAATGGCCAATATGGCCATACTAGTAAGATGTAAAAAAATAATTCCCTGTACATTATAATTTTTGAGACATCCATAACACTTGAACAGATGTGAGCCCTGTTTTATAATCATCATTCCATTACCAATTATAGTAAGCTGCCTACTCATACATATAGAGATAGCGCTGCTGTTATCATTCTTTGACTGAGACAGAGATCAGACAGATTTCAGACAGAGACCAGCCCGATATTCTAAACTAATGAACCAACAACTAAAAGTAATTACATGTAGTCCAACCACAAATTAACAAACCAAAAAACCAATAACTTTACATGAGTAATTTATGAACCAACAGCCATGCATGTAGATTTGTAGGAGTAATTCAACACAGTATATACAACACATTTCAAGAATGAACACAGCACTGAGAGCCAATGAATACTAAACTTCCTGAAAAGCCAATGAAATGGGTGAGCTACATGTGTGTGTGTCGGTGAACTGTGAACTAGTTGAAAGTTCTATAATTGTTAAAGGCATTGCTACAAAGGCCTAAAAGACACCTACTGACAAAGACTAATAAAGCATAATAAGTGTATAGTCCTATACTGATTGGTCTATTACATACAATTTGAAGATAATTACTTCCTAATCATGGCACCCTTACAAGCAACTACACAAACTATAACAAGTGTAAAAACAGGAAAGAGAGAGGCAGGCCATAAAATCTTATCAAAACTATTTCCAGCCACACACATACATGTACATGTACATGTACATGCAACAGTGTACAGAAAATTCAATAACACCTTAAAAAGTAATTTAACACTGATTAGTTCACTACAACATGATAATCAAATGGCAAAAACAGTCAATGCACACTAAAATGGACAATAAAGGGAGAATATAAATACTTGGAGAATCATGCACACTATCCACCAGTTTGAGGGAAATATGCTACCTTGTATATCTATGGACTATTAATGCATCCTAATACTGATGGCCCCTTGAGGCCTTGACAGGTAAAATATATATGTATTATTGTGGTCTATTGCCTGATTTACACACATAACACAAATAGAGGATTGACAAACAGGAGTGCTATAACTTAATACAAGCTATTCTTGTGTTAACACAAATGACATTGGTGAACATGTACATGTATATGGCACTTGCAATTTCAACAAATTAATAGTCTACATTGTACATACCTTTATTAAACTGATGTGAAGTGTAAACAGCATTCCAGAAGACTTTGACCTAAAGTACATTGTATAAAAAGAAATTTTATAAAGACACCTGAACTGTAGCTCGTAAGTTAAAATAATAATATCACATGAGATTGGAATACAAAACAGGTCAATGAGCACTATGTGTCTTGCATTATAACAATAAATCAAAATGACAAAACACAAATGATAGTAGGCCTTTATTAGCCAAACAAATTAATTTGTGATACTCATAATAGTAACATGACATATTCCATAATTAAAATAAATATTGAAATAATTACAATGCTAGGAAAGTGGAGAGCCAATTTATACATGTATCACTCATGACCTAATCATTAATATAATACTAGTAATAAAAGGTATTGGCTACATCATGCATTGAACAAACTACTATTTACAGATGATCTACAATGTATTGTATTTCTATAGATGTTGTAGTCTCTATTTGGGTTGAACATACTGAACAGATTCGAATAATGACCATGCTGAATAGTAAAGCTGTAATGACGCAATAGATTCTATTTGTATTGATGCTTATAGAGTAGTTATGAATCACAACAATGTGTCATAGTGGCACTGTTTAAAGCAGTACATACACTTCAATAGAGTCTGTAGCATTCATTTGCATTGTGGAAACAAATTGTGTAATAGTAACCAGTGTTGCACAGAATGACAGTAGATGTTTGCCTTGGACATACTGAACAGATACATGTACATGATACAGTAATGCACAATTATGTTGCATTGTTTTTCCTAGACTCATTACCCATTGTAATTAACAATTGATTAATGTAGCTGTTTCATCATAAGCTTAAAAGATTACACTGTGAATAATATAAAGCAGCAAGCTCTAAAAGTGATCTACATGTACATAACAGGAAATTTACAAGCAATGCATCAGATTACTAAGTGTTTGATGGTTTTCACTGGAAGTCAGTTGTACTACTACACATGTTAAATTTTGGTGTACTTAGCTTAGTTCTAAGAAATTCCTACCTATGGCAACTAATACTTCCCAAAAAGCAACTCACTCCTATGAAGCCCTATTTGTAACAACCATAACCACCCTATACAAGTACATGCATATCAGATATTAAGGTATCCAAACATCATATGCACCTAACAGGCGAAAACCAAGTTATAACATGTCTTGGGGTTATAATGTCTATTACCCTTGAGAAAGTGGTCAAGAGGCAGACAAGGTGATATCCAGCTTTTTACTATCGATACTACAAGCATATAGTATACTTGGCATGCAAGGACACTTCAATACTCATTTTATAGTTGACATATAAAAAAAACATGTCATGGTCATGTACTTCAAGGTTAAGAGATATACAGTAAATAATACAATGCATTCAATTCTTCAGCTAAAACAACCATTACAAAACAACATACATGTAATACTGTATAGTGCTTTATTTTGGCGTTTTTGCAATAAAATTCTAATTGGCGGTTTTTAATTTGGCAATTTTTGTGTACACGTGCAATACTGAGCATGCAAATTAATGATTGGTGGTTTTAATATTTGTGATTCTGCTTGCAAACCGCCAATTGCCAAAATAAAACTCTGTCAAATTAAAGCACTATATGGTATGTATAAACCTTACGCTTACAGTATGACGCCATGACATGTACAGTACATACATTGTATAAAATAATTATGAAACATTAACACAAATAAAAGAAGTGACATGTACTAAAGTAATTGTGGAAGCAGGGTTTCCCACAAGATTTTGGCATAGTGCTCATGCAGGTTCTTTCAAAAAATTAATTGCTAGAAAAAAATTTACATTATTTTAATAAAAATTGATTTTTTTACAAATTTTAAAGTTATTCCAAAATCATGCTAAACACCCTGTCCTTGACCAAATTTCACAAAAAAGGACTAGAAGAGAATTCTTCGTTTTTTTTCTTGACACCTGTACATATACATGTTCTTACATTCTGTAGCAAGTTTGAGCTGATTCCAATCAAAAGTGAATTTTTTATAAATTTTAAAAACTTACTCAAAAATCGGGCCAAAGACCCTGTACTAGTACAGGATTTTTGGCAAATTTTGCCAAAAAAGACTAGGAGACAAATCTCAATTTTAAAAATTTTTCTGATACACATACATGTTATTATGCATTTGAGCTCATTACGATCATAATTGCATTTTTTATGAATTTTTAAAGTTACCAAAAAATCGGGCCAAAGTCTCTGTACTCATATACATGTAGAATATGTAGTACAGGAAACTTCACTAAAAATTACTAGCAGAGAATTCTCAATTTTATATTTTTTTCTGTAACAAACATTATTCTTAATGTTACATGTAGAAAGTTTGATCAAAATTGAGTTTTATAAACTGTTACGCTGCTCCAAAGCCATGTACTGTGCCTGCTTGTCAGCTCATAAAGCTCATGCTGTTTAGCTCACTTAAAGTGTAGCATGCTTTGTAGGAAACTGTGTACATATTCATATTTACTGTACATCAACACTAATACAAGGACTTACAAACAATTACTGTTAGCAAATATACATGTAATTTGCATAACTATCAATACATCAGAATTTTAAATGATGTACAGTACATGTACGTAAACAGTTAATGTTGCTATGATTTGGGAGACCCTTTCTACATGTATAGGCAAATTTATTATCAATAGGATAAATGTTTAAAAACTCAAAATCAAATAGACAAAACGAACAAATGAAATGATAGAACTTTCTAATGATTAAAACTTACATTTCAGTAGTCCACTTCAGATAGAAATAGCCATTAAGTTTAAGATATCATTTCTAAGAAAAATATTACAAGAAAAAAACATAAAAAGATTAGCTCTAAATCACTCATAAATTAAGTTCAACCACTAATTACATAGGTGATCTAAATTAAAATTCTAGTTAAATTATATTTAGTTTATGTACTAGCAGGCAATTAATATGAACCGTCAAAACTCCCATAATAAAATAAACAATAATTTATTCAATTTATATTTCACAAATTAATTGTAAGATGTAACTAAAAAAGCTCAACAGTAGGCAGGGATGTGGATGAACCACTACTGGTTCCCTATTGTTGGATTACAATAAAAAATATTTTCTACAGGTCAACACATTACTGTATAGACAAAGGTTTTATTGACAAAGGTTTTATTTTAACGAGTTGAGTCAGTTGAAAATTTTAAATAAAACAACAAATTTTATAATCGTCAGAAATTTTGTACCACGTGTACAAGAAGGCACAAACTTCTTTTATTTGTCAAATTTAAACTCACCAACTGGGGAAATTTACTGTTTTTACCAAAATTTTTATTCGTCAGTAAATCCCTATACAGTATTGCTTTTAGGCCCTACACCATTAAAATACAGACTCTAAATCACACCCATTTGCTAGCAGTGCATGTATTTTTAGTCATAAAATTAAATATATCTCTTAGAACATCTACAGATCATTTACCTTATGACTTCAATAAATCAGTTGATATTTACTAATCCTAGCCTCTAGAACAGAGGAAATTCATGAAAGGAGTTCTACACTTCACAGATGACAACACGTGGTAGGGTGGAGTTTAAGTCGTGGGCGTAACTTTAAGTCGTGGTCGATCTTCAAACTGTGACACGCCCATAAGAAGCATTCAAGCAGGCAACTTGAGTTTTTCATGGGTTCTGAGCTGCAGGTCAACTATCAGAAACTAGCACAAGAGTATGCTAAGGTATGAACTATCAGTGCAAACATTTTTTGAACTGTTTTGTAAATGAAATCTTTTGTGTGCACAAAATCTTGGCGACCACGCCCTTAAATCTTTAGCATACTATTTTGATTATTTAGATTGAGTGATATGCTGTATAGCTAGAAAATTTTGTGGCCTGGAATTCCTGCTTTTTTATTAGGCCACAGCAGGCCAAATGGCATTCAAAAATTTGCAAAAGGAATTTTCTACACAGAAAAATAATGTATATATACATATATATACATACTAGTTAAGAGCTCAAGTTGACGTCCTCAAACAAGCTGTCAGAACTGAAGAGAATGCAAAGGCATCATTGGAGGTACTTCTATATTTTGAACTTCTGCATATCATGACATATCACTGAGTACAAATTGGGACATATCTATTATGATTTTACCGTGATATTTTATTTTTGTCTAGTACCTCTTGGTCTGTATGCATCTTTGCATTATTTTGTAGGTAGAGTTAAGAACAAAGGATCAAGCTCTTAGGAAACATGCACAGAAAAATGAATCATTGAACTTTCGAAATCAACAGGTATGAGAATGTTTTATTGAAATTTTAGTGTCTCCATTATTATTTTGATTAGTTGTCAAAGCGTGTCTCAATGCTTCAAGATTACTTGGAATCATGAGCAAAAGGAAAGAAGAAAAATGTACATGTCCAAGTATAATGCACTTGTAAAGAAACATGTTTAACTGATTTTTGTGAATGATAAGTGATAATGTAAATTTGCTTGGACCCTATTATGTACTATTGCCTGGACTTAGAATATGCATATACTTGGAAATTTGTAAATAACTCTTAATTTGTAGGTGAATGTGCTCCGAAAAACAATTTCATAATCACACAGTTGCAATCAATGGAAGTATTGAAGAAAAGGACTACTGCTTATACTGAGGAGGAGTTTAAATCCACTCTCTCTGAACTGGATAAGCTATGCTGTGACATAGTGTCTTCATCCCCTCCTGATAGTATCATTATGATTGTCTGTGGTAGTGGTCATATTGGGGAAGTGAGGGAACTCCAGAAGGATTCCAGTACTAGTCTTGAGGTCCTGAAAAGTGCTGTGATGAAGGCCAGGGAGGGTAGAGTTTTTGCATTGTTAAAATGTGACCATAATTGACAAAAGGTACCTTATGGCGGGTAGTGAAATTTGTCTTTATAGCCTTAAAAATCCAACTTCCTGAAGTCCATGTATCATAAAATTACTCAAGAGGATGCAAAAAGTTGCTATGTAACTTTTAAAAACAATAGTTGTCCAACAGAGCACCCACAGGTTGACATTTTTCATTATAATGATGAATTTGAAAATCCGCCATAAGGTACCTTTTGTCAATTATGGTCACAAATAGTTTAATATTATTTTTATTGAGAACTGTTTTTGAGATTTCAAGAAATTTTGGCTATCATGGGTGGTGCAGGGACATGATGTAACCAATGCTTAGTGTTAACAAAGCAATTAATAAAATTGTTAATAATAATTAGAGAGCCGCAACAACTTAATTAATTAGCAAATAAAACTATATACTAGCTAGTTTAGTTAAGTCTAAAAATGTCCTAAGTCAGCTACTAATAACACTAAGGCCTAATTAATTACATGTAAAGTTAGCGAATCTTTTTCTTTGTTGCATCTTGAAGACGGACTATTTCCTTCCATGCACAGACAACTTGACTTAGTTTAATATCAGGAGGAAAGAACTCCATAAGATGAGAAATAGGCTCAGATTTGGTTTGATGCACATAGTCAAACAAGACTACTCTCAATCTATTTAGAATAATTAAGTAATAGTCAAAATTAATCTTAGAGTAGCCTTTACTGTTTATGCTTGTCTTCCAGATTACATGTTTGTACATAGGTCTGTATCATCTCATACATCACTTCCAGCATGTTATCTATGTTAGTCATTTTACTGATTGCTGCTTCAAGAGACACTTTTTGTTGTTCATCCTAAATATTTATTGTAAGCTTAAGCATCTACACAAAATAATAGACTGACATCTATTTTTTCCATGAAATCCATTTTAACACTGAATGAATCCTACAGGAAAGTATCATCATACTAATTTTAATTAATGACCTTACCTCTTCATTTCGAACTCTGTATTTAGCACGTTCAACATTCAAGAATCTCCACAATGGTACAACATGCTCCAAGCAGCAGAAATCAGTGATCTAAAATAATAAGTCATCAATTCCAAATTAATCTATACATACAGTAGTACCTTTTCACTTCTTAGTTTACCAATAATGATCAAATCATTCTCTACATATTCCTTTAATTTCTTTTTTGCTGGTTCTTTTTTGATTTGAAGGAATCTCATTACTGTCTCGATTGTTTCACATAAAACTGTCATCTCAGCTAAGTCATCTTTGAGATCCATTAGAATCCCTGACCGAACTTGAGGAGGCAGTGCTTGCTAGAAAGTTAAGGAAAATACCAATATAATATACTGTATTGTACATACTTGAGGAATATTCTTCTTAACAGCTGCGATAATTTGTGTATTGTGAACAGGACGTTTCCATATCACCTGGGGAATATCTAATACTTGGGTTATAATTGGCTTTCCTAATACAAATTCCTGAACAAAATCTCTTTCAATGATTCCAAGATCATTTATTTGAATAGTAACATTTCCATTAGAGATTGTGTATACACTATGAGATTGGACTAGCCTGACAAATTCATCAGAACACTTCACAAAATGCTTAGAATTTAACTCTTGCAATGGCACCTTTGGGCTTTGCCACAGCCAATTTCTATAAAATTTTATACAAGAATATTGCTTTTATGCATGTATTCATAATACTTTTTAAGTGAATCTTCCACAAATTTGCGGCAAAGTCTAATGAACTTGTTATGACTAATGATGAGATGATCAATTAATCCAGTGGTGATAACTCCAGGTCCATAGGTTGTTGGTATTAAGTACTTCATTTTCATTTCTTTAGAAATTTCTACTTGGATGCTGTTGTTCTTTAACTCAAACAAGCGCCCTGCAATACAAAAATAATATTAAATGATATTTCTCATACAATACATACCATTATCAAGCTCATGATGACATAATTCCCAAGCACGCTGAAAAGAAACAAAATAACTTTCGTAATCATCTTTTTGTTGATCATCTACATGTACATATTGAAAATAATTATGTCCCTTTCTTGTATTTATGGTTACCAATTTGATTAACAAATTCCCTGAATGGCATGTTCTCAATAGTTCCTTGTGTCTTTTCATCAAAATCAAACTGTGATATTGCTTTTTGAGTTATCTTAAGCATTTTTAAGATATCTGGCAAAAATGTCATTGCTTCAAACCTATGGATCTAAAGTACATGTTAATATATAGATTTGTATTTTGTTAGCTGACTTCAGAAAGATATATGAAAATCACGGGATGCTCCTCAGATACTTTTATGGTCAGTAACTGCCCACAAATTTGTTGTGAAGTTAATGTAGGACAAACATTCCATAAAAATGGCTCTGATGATGTCATGGGAGTCATGTACACTGCTTTAAATAATTTGCTATAATCTACAAAGACAATGAATTTTGTTAGAAAAATGAAAACTTACCTCTAGCAGTTAGCTCTTTTAGCATTTTTTGAATGCTAGACCCTGTGTCCTAATATAATAGTGTCACATAATCTAATAAACTATTATTATTAGTATTACCTTGACAACAGATTCAATGTAACAATCATAAAACTGTTTCTCCCACTTTCTTCTATCATCTAATTTTACTAAATTACCAACAACATTTTGTCCTATTGTGTTATCCCAAATAAAATAATCAATGTAATTAACACATTAACCAACCTGTTAGTTGTACATGATGTCCTTTCTCATTGATTTTTTTTAGCACTAAATGAACTAACAAAGCAGCTTCATCAATAGAATGACCAGTAATGCTTGATAACTGTTGTATATCTTTCTTTATTTGACCCCAAAAAAATGAATTGTACTCTGGCAAAGGTAGATCAAGTTTTCCGTTCATTAGTGGTAAAATATTCTGTTTGCAATGAAATAAATAAACATCTTTGGTTTTAGTACATACCTTTCCATTGCAAGATGACCATAGTAAGCATGAATGCATTATGCACCTGATGATAGCATATGAAGCATTAGAAAGAAAACCAATTGGGGGGTTTCTTTCCATCTCAGTTAGTGGTATATACCCAGGAGAAGCTTCATTTTCAGTGAATTTGCTAGTAAAAGCAATAAAAACACATTCCAGAAGTTTAATACTTACTCTACAGGAGCCAATGATTTACTTGAATATTGTATAATTCTACCACAGTGGATACAAAATGACTCCAACTAAATATACGTTAACATATAAAATCAAGACATATATCTATTATAATACCATAATGTCTGTGTATTGATGGGCATTGTTGCACTCTGAATAATAATCATATAGGCAGTATACAATGATAAAAGCTAATTGTACTTACGAAGAAAACCTTCTTCCTCTTCTTTAATGCTTGACAACTTTATAGGCATAGCAGGCAACATCAAGTCCTTTCATACATACCCATTCAACTAAACATTTATCAATAATTATTATGCATACTTTAAGTGTCTCTGGTGATGAAAGAAAGTTTGATAACATTCTCATATGTCCAGTTTTTCTGTTAGTAAGTATGGTAAGGACTGAATGGACAACTATCATTTGATATATTGAATCTTCATGCTCATCTTTTCTAGCCTGCATTGAAGGGAAAAGACTGCACTGCTGATTTTGTAGGAGTTCGTCAACAATATGTAGCACCTGTGTAAGAAATTTGTAAATACTTTGAAACCTATACAACAATTAAAACTAACTTCTTGGTCTTTTGTGAAAAGCTGGCAGGTTTTAGCAAAATCTCTAAAATTCTCTAAAATCTAGTTGTTATAAAGACATGAACAAGTAAAATATGGCACATTTCAAGTTGTTTACTTCTGATGAAAGTTTTTTTGAAGGAATATCTGTTGCATAGCTTAATTTTACTCTTTCAAATAATGCTAATGCAAGTGGAACAGTGAATGTAGGATTAAGACTCTGCCAAAAAGAGATAAAATGACAATAATAATAATCTATAATGCTGTACAGTACTTGAACTGCTAGATTTAGTTCATCAAATTCTCCTGTTGTAGCTCTACTAATGGCAGATCTGATATCCTGATAAACAGGATTGTATACAGCAACAAAGTCCATAAATTCTTCATCCTGTAAGTAGATTCAAATCAATTTTTTAAAATTATGAGTGTTACTTTAAAGTTTTCAGATGGCAAAATCCACTTAAAATAATTATTTCTGAATATTCTCATCAATGATATGCTGCCAAAAGTTCTTATAATGTAGCGAATGAGATACCAGAATGGTCCTTCTGTAGTTTGATCATCATTAAGATCGTCAGACAGACAATAGCTTTCAGCTTCATCAAAAAGGTAAATAACATCAGGATCAGCTTCCATATCAAAGGTTGATTCATGTATTTTTTTTGCTAAAACTTCAAGACCTTTTGTAAACTTTGCAACTGCCAACCAGCATTGTGGTGACAATGCTCCATCATTTTTACACTGCATCAACAATCTATGTCCTTCACCTAACAAACTATCAGCAACGGAAGTCATTTTTTCACTTTGCACTGATACACTAGATCTAGTCTATAATCAATGAATTAAGCATTATAAGTTAGGAATAAAATCATAAAAATCATTGATTACATCTTTTTACCTTTATATTTGCTAAGAATATTTCAATAAAGCTTTGGGGGTTTGGCAAATTTATCTTTTCCATAATATTTCTCAGTTTACTCTGTATCTTGTTATACCTAAAATATTTTACATGAATTAAGTCACAGACAAGACTACAAAATTACTCATATTGCATTATTAGTTTAATTGTAAAGGACTGTAAATAAGTCATTTCTTCCATATGATTCTGTAA